ATTGGATTTCGTGAACTGGGAAGACAGCTTCAGGCGAATTTTCCGTTGATTTAGACCTGATGGATTCTTTTTGCCTACTCTGTAGGCAGCAACAACGTCAGTTTTGTTTAGATTGAGCTGCAATTTGTTTTTTAAGAGATCCTGAGCTATTTCGAAACAATTTTCACCTTCATGTTCCACAGGTATATCTAGGGACGACACGATAACAGAGTCTAGCAGCTTTTGCTGGTCTTGTTCCTCCTGGGAGACGGAACGTTGAGCTGAAAATGTACTGATACATGCAGTCATTTTGCTGAGAGCTTCCTCCTGCTTTTTTAAGGCTTCATCAGTTTTCCGAAGGTTGTTTACCTCATGGAGATCATTCAAATCATGCTGTAGTTGGTCTTGGCTAGCCTTGTAGTTTCTAATATCCTCGCGGAGGAGGGTTATTTCTTGTTGTTGTTGTTGGAGATTAGCGCGGTTCGCTAGATTCTCGTTGAGAAGACTCAAGATGATAGAATTTTGTGATTCGAGGACTAGGCACAACTTTTTGAACCACAGATTCATACGCTAATGATGCTTCCGTTAAAATTTTGGTGGTTATATGACATTAATTCTAAGGTCCCCGTAGTACAGTCGGGTTCGTTCTTGACGCACAATCGACAATTCCGGGTTCGAATCCCGGACGGGACAGAAATGGTTGGGCACATTTCCTTACACCTAATGCCACTGGTCACACAGCAGTAAGTAGGTACTCAGGAGTTAGTCAGCTTGTTGATGGGTTATGTCGTGGGGCGGGGTCAGTAATGTGATCTTGGGGGGGGGGAACTATCAGGAGAAAGCGCCAAGCCATTATGACTGTATAGCCCTGGGAAGAGCGAGGGGGGAGAGGGGGGGCAAGATGTCGATAAAATGCCAAACGTGTATGAATACACCCTGGCTTCCTGTCCCCTGACACAATGAATTATTATTATTAATAATAATAATAATATTATAATAATAATATAAATGCACCGTAATATCATCGGGTTTTCGGACTAGTGAGCATCGGTTGCAATATGTCAGGTGAGTTAATAGTCTTAGGCAAAATACGTTTCAAATTTGACTCTTGTCAGCTAATTGTGGGGATGGGGGGGGGGACGGTTTGAAGCAGGACTGTACACTAGTACAGTAACCTGTACACCAGTTGATAGACAGTTGAGAGGCGGGACCAAAGAGCCAAGGCTCAACGAGAGTACTAGTGCGTGACAGAACGTTCTAGCACGTACGCGGCCACCCGCGCCTCTTCCAGCCCGTGACACACTTCTCAACACTGCTGCCAAGAATACTGTGTCCGGAAATATCTCTGTCTTTTGTTAAGAACGCCACTGAACAGTACGATCAGTAGGATATACAGTATAAGAAACGTTCTGAAACATTCACCAAATGACAGTGTTGACCAAAGAAATTCGTCGCTCTTCTGTCTTCCCCAATATCCTGAAATATTACGGCTTTTACAGCAAAAATTGGAATGCAATCTCTGCTGTGGCAAGACCCAACATGAGGCTAGACAGCTCATGTATCCATCGTGTAACTTATATTTACAAGCTTAAGTATACACATCAGTGTGCTGTTACCCTATTCTATATGAAGGATTATAGATTATAGATCAAGAGCTAACTATCAGTTCATCTAATAACCTCTTGAAAGAAAGAACACGAGGTGGCATTCTAGTTTCCTACAGCCTGCACTAACAAACTTTTGGTATAGTATGAAAATATCTTATACCTGACAACTTTATTGAACATTTAAATATTCTAACTTTTTATTGATTATAGTCCAATACGATAAATGAGATAAGATAAATGATGACATAGTAAAAATCCTGATGCATTTCCCAACATTTTATCGAACTTATCGGCTTCAATCTAATCAGATAGCTCCCTCACCCAATGGTGCAACATTGATTTAAAAATGTTAGCTTCGCCCAGCAATGGTGCAATGTTTGATCGTGTCTAATACGGTGGACCGTTCCCTACACCGCACCACGGGTGCAGCTGGAAGTGCAGTTGTCCTGACAATGGGCGATGGCTTATACTTTGAGTGGGGAGTCCGTATAAACAACTGGGCCTCTACCCTTCAGACCGAACTATTTGCCTTGATCCTTGCACTGAAATGTGTACAAGTCTCCAAACTTGATACATTAATTGTAAGTGACTCCTTATCATCCTTAATTGCTCTCAACTCTTTAAGACATAACTGTAACATGCTCGTGTCCGAAGCTAGACACAAATACAACAAAATTATTAAGGATGGTAACAGAGTCCATTTCATGTGGTCTCCATCTCATGTTGGCCTCCGAATGCATGATAGAGCTGATAAGTTAGCCAAAGAATCTGCCTTTAAAGGAGCCGTTGAGTGTAACCTTGGATTGTCAATGAGCAATCTGAGAGCAGCAGTACACCGAGAACTTCAACAAGATCTTGTAGATCTGAGGCAAAGTGAAATTGACACCAGTAATTCCATCTATCATCATACTATCATGCAAGAGGAGCCACACATCTATGGATCATCCAATAAAATCAGCAGACTTCTAGATGTTACTACTGCTCGGCTTAGACTCGGTTACAAGTATCTCTGGGAATTCTCATTATCTGCCGATGTAGACCTGACCAAATGTAAACTGTGTCAACAAAATTATTCGCACACCCTCCGTCACTATGTGATGGAGTGCGAAAAGATACGTGAATTTAGAGACAATTCTATAACCAATGTTCCAGCGATGTGTAAATATTTCATTCAAAATGATCTGCTACCAGAAATTTTAGCCAAATATCCCCAGTTTGCTAACTGTAGGTAGTAACTGAGTGATTGTAACCTATCCACCGCTGCCCACTGGATGGGGGGCGGTGTGCAGGACAAACATATCAATTGTGACACTAGCTCTCCACATATGTCAGCTGCTTAATTTAGAACCTGTACTTGAGGTCGATACTAACCGTATTAGACACGACCAAGATAGTCATGTCTGTCCCGAAACTGCCCGAAACGCTGCGCGTACTAGTGGCTTTACAAGAATGTAATTGCTATGCTATGTATCCTCACAATCCCAATGTACCTTGTTGTATATATATAAATAAATAAATAAATAAATAAATAAATAAATAAATAAATAAATAAATAAATAAAATAAATGTCAAGGGGGCCTGAGTGGACAGCGCTCTGAGTTCGTAGGAGTTCGTAGTCCTTAGGGTCGTAGTTCGTTAAGGAGTTCGTAGTCCTTAGGGTCCGGGTTCAATCTCCGGCGGAAACAAATAGGCAGAGTTTCTTTCACCCTGACGCCCCTGTTACCTAGCAGTAAATAGGTACATGGGAGTTAGACAGCTGCTACGGGCTGCTTCCTTAAGATGTGTGTGTGAAAATTAGGATTAAGGACGTGCCCGAAACGCTATGCGTGTTAGTGTTGTGGCTGTACAATATTGTGTGTGTGTGTGTGAGGATGGCGTGTAAGACCATCTGACGTGTAATATACTAAGAGAGGAAATACCGAAGCCACGACCACATTATACAAGAGTGCTCACGCCCCATACGTTTTCAACGGGTGGTGAATAAGAGAGGAAATAGCAGAGCCTCGGCCACACACGGAGTCACATTAAAATCCGTGCAAAGAAATGGCTGTTCAAGTTTAATCCCATCAAATGTTAGGTAATGAGATAGAAAATGGAGATAGGAGGCCAGAAGGAATCCACACCATAAAGGAAAGTTAACTACAGGAATCAGAAAGATAAAAAGATATGAGGGTGGATATATTTCCAAGGCTAACACGCAAGGCACACATAAACAGAATAATATTAGCATAATACGGGAAGTTGACAAACATTACAGTGGTATTTAAAACTTGAAAACACTCTTTCAAAGCAATCTTTACAGTCTTTAGAAAGCCAATACTAAATAAACAGAACCGGCCTGGAATCCGCACCTCGTTAAACTGGAAACTATACATGAAAATCTACAGAGGTCTGTAACAAGACTGAATTAAAAGGACCAAACTACGAGGACAGATTAAGGGAACTCGATATTACAACCCTAAAGAAGAGAATGTATAAAAGGGACATGATCATTATATACAAAATATTGAGGGGAATACACAAGATGGATAAATACATTCTCTTTAGGGTTAAGTGTCTTTAATTTAAAAATTAAAAGAAATTAGGACAAGAGGACATAAGTGGAAGCAGGATAATACGTCGCAGGCATAGTGAGCTAGAGTTCCCCCATCTTATCTTGAGGTTATCTTGAGATGATTTCGGGGTTTTTAGTGTCCCCGCGGCCCGGTCCTCGACCAGGCCTCCACCCCAGGAAGCAGCCCGTGACAGCTGACTAACCCCTTAAGGGCGTAACAGTAAGGACTCAATTTTTATGTAGAAAAAAGGCCCGCACGGGGCAGTGTGTGCACCGAGAGTTGGCACGCTGAAGTAGGGCCGGCGTCCTGCCTGCGCTGTGCTTATAGGAGGAGAAGGTGAGTAAGGCACTACTCCTCGAGAGCTGTCGTCGTTCCAGGAGTGTGTGTTGACCTCCTGCGGTATGCACAGCCGCCCCTGCACGAAGGCAAGCGTGTTGACCAATCCACACACACTAGAAAATGACGAGACGACGACGTTTCGGTCCGTCCTGGACCATTCTTAAGTCGATTGTGGACCATTCACAATCGACTTGACAATGGTCCAGGACGGACCGAAACGTTGTCGTCCCTTCATTTTCTAGTGTGTGGACTGGTCAACATACTTCAGCCACGTTATTGTGACTCATCGCCTGCAGAAGGCAAGTGTGTTAGGCTAAAGCGAAGAGCGCCCTATAGCAGTGTTTCTCATAACTAGTGTTAGAGGAACTTCTTAATGAGACCGCTCCTGTGCCAGGTAAGTCCACTACGGGCTCACCATAGCCCGTGTTACTTGCCCCGCTCCTGTGCCAGGTAAGTCCACTACGGGCTCACCATAGCCCGTGCTACTTGCCCCGCTCCTGTGCCAGGTAAGTCCACTACAGGCTCACCATAGCCCGAGCTACTTGCCCCGCTCCTGTGCCAGGTAAGTTACGGGCTCACCATAGCCCGAGCTACTTGGAACTTGTTCAGAGCAGCTTAATCTATAACAACAACAACTTGTTAATGCGGCCAGCAGGTTGTGCAGGAGTCTTCGGGTGATGGACAGGCGTGGAATATTGGGCGTGGGGCCGGTGCTGGAGTCTTCGGGTGGTGGGCAGGCGTGGAATATTGGGCGTGGGGCCGGTGCTGGAGTCTTCGGGTGGTGGGCAGGCGTGGAATATTGGGCGTGGGGCCGGTGCTGGAGTCTTCGGGTGGTGGGCAGGCGTGGAATATTGGGCGTGGGTCCGGTGCTGGAGTCTTCGGGTGGTGGGCAGGCGTGGAATATTGGGCGTGGGGCCGGTGCTGGAGTCTTCGGGTGATGGGCAGGCGTGGAATATTGGGCGTGGGGCCGGTGCTGGAGTCTTCGGGTGGTGGGCAGGCGTGGAATATTGGGCGTGGGGCCGGTGCTGAAGTCTTCGGGTGGTGGGCAGGCGTGGAATATTGGGCGTGGGGCCGGTGCTGGAGTCTTCGGGTGGTGGGCAGGCGTGGAATATTGGGCGTGGGGCCGGTGCTGGAGTCGGACTCCTGCATTATTCATCTTAACTCGTTCAAGCAAATAAACTGTGAAAGTAATGGAAGCATTTGCATAAAAGTTTATTACAACTCTGTGTTATTCTTCAAAATATTGACCTAAAACAGAGATCAGCATGAAAGACTTACTTGTGATTTGACCTGTCCTTGGGTCTAGTTACCTTCATCATGGATTATTAAGTGCTCCACCAGATTATAGACCAGCCAACAAGTATAATTTAGTATTAAGCCAAATTCGTGTTTAAAGAAAACGGCCAACACGTAAACACACTTAGGCTGGGATGCACCTTTCATGGCATACTCAGGAGTTTAGTTTAATTAATTTATACCCCATACCCATCTTACGGCCGGTAGTGGAAAGGGTTACAGAGGTAACCCTGTACTCTCATAAACCCAATATACCTTCTTATATATAAATAAATAAAAGTTACAATCTTGAGGAGCTAGTTACAAATTTCAATGCACATCGTCACATCAACAATGGGTTCGAGACCGACACAAGTACAGTTTCTAAATTAAGCAACTGACATATGTGAAGAGCTAGTGTCACAAGGATACTGGCTGTTAATTTAATAAACGGTTTGTCGAGGTCGTATTCCGGGGAAATTAGGATTAAGGACTTGCCCGAAACGCTACGCGTGCTACTGGCTGTTCAAGAATGTAACAACTCTTGTATATAAATATACATAAAAAAATATTTAGGCAGTCTCTGAGTACTGCAGCAACGTGCAGGCGTCCCCACGCCTGACTTATGGCGCAACACTGGCGGGCGTGATGCCACGTCTCAACACGCAAGTTCTTGTACCACTATAGTCTACACAACTGCCGTCTTCCTGTTCCTGTTTCAGCAGTTATACAAAATGTGTAGTCAGTGCTTGAAATTTTTTTGGAGAGAATGAACTGGTAATTATATTATCATCATCATTACACGAGTGTAATGATAAGTGTGAGTTAGATATGGCACCTACGCTTCAGGTACAGAAACGTTCTCGTCTGTCTAGAGAAGAAAAGAACGAACCGCTGTACGCGTCACTTTCAAATTTGAAGGCTGCCACGTTGTTCCTATTTTCTTTTGTTTCGTTATTCTGCCTACGTACGGCTGATAACCCCACTCTACTAGCTGGCAGTTATTACAGATACCAATAGTGCGTTTCCCATTTTCGTGGGTCGTCTGGGACACCTATTAGGCTTAATGAAATTCTGTAGGAATAAAAATAATATATTCAACATTAGGTACAATGGGTTGGTGCGAATACATAAGATTGGTATTTATGCATTCTTGCAAAGCCACCAACATGTATGGCGTTTCAGGCACCTATTTAAGTATACTGCTAAGTGAACAGAGGCATCGGGTGTAGGGAAACTTGTCATTCGGCTGTCAACATAGTGAGATAAAGAATTTGCGTTAAACTACATTCATTCGGTGATCAATTCACACCCATCAGGTGGATGGTGCAACCCACAGTGTGAGCTGTGGATGGTGCAACCCACAGTGTGAACTGTGGATGGTGCAACCCACAGTGTGAGCTGTGGATGGTGCAACCCACAGTGTGAGCTGTGGATGGTGCAACCCACAGTGTGAGCTGTGGATGGTGCAACCCACAGTGTGGGCTGTGGATGGTGCAACCCACAGTGTGAGCTGTGGATGGTGCAACCCACAGTGTGAGCTGTGGATGGTGCAACCCACAGTGTGAGCTGTGGATGGTGCAACCCACAGTGTGAGCTGTGGATGGTGCAACCCACAGTGTGAGCTGTGGATGGTGCAACCCACAGTGTGAGCTGTGGATGGTGCAACCCACAGTGTGAGCTGTGGATGGTGCAACCCACAGTGTGGGCTGTGGATGGTGCAACCCACAGTGTGAGCTGTGGATGGTGCAACCCACAGTGTGGGCTGTGGATGGTGCAACCCACAGTGTGAGCTGTGGATGGTGCAACCCACAGTGTGAGCTGTGGATGGTGCAACCCACAGTGTGAGCTGTGGATGGTGCAACCCAGTGTGAGCTGTGGATGGTGCAACCCACAGTGTGAGCTGTGGATGGTGCAACCCACAGTGTGAACTGTGGATGGTGCAACCCACAGTGTGAGCTGTGGATGGTGCAACCCACAGTGTGAACTGTGGATGGTGCAACCCACAGTGTGAGCTGTGGATGGTGCAACCCACAGTGTGAGCTGTGGATGGTGCAACCCACAGTGTGAGCTGTGGATGGTGCAACCCAGTGTGAGCTGTGGATGGTGTAACCCACAGTGTGAGCTGTGGATGGTGCAACCCACAGTGTGAGCTGTGGATGGTGCAACCCACAGTGTGAGCTATGGATGGTGCAACCCAGTGTGAGCTGTGGATGGTGCAACCCACAGTGTGAACTGTGGATGGTGCAACCCACAGTGTGAGCTGTGGATGGTGCAACCCACAGTGTGAACTGTGGATGGTGCAACCCACAGTGTGAGCTATGGATGGTGCAACCCAGTGTGAGCTGTGGATGGTGCAACCCACAGTGTGAACTGTGGATGGTGCAACCCACAGTGTGAGCTGTGGATGGTGCAACCCAGTGTGAGCTGTGGATGGTGCAACCCACAGTGTGAGCTGTGGATGGTGCAACCCACAGTGTGAGCTGTGGATGGTGCAACCCAGTGTGAGCTGTGGATGGTGCAACCCACAGTGTGAGCTGTGGATGGTGCAACCCACAGTGTGAGCTGTGGATGGTGCAACCCGCATTCATCCAGTGGATGCAACCCGCATTCATCCAGTGGGTGGCGGTGAAGGGTGCAACCCGCATTCATCCGGCGGTGGAGGGTGCAACCCCAAACCGCATTCATCCAGTGAGTGGTGATGGTAAACACAGGATGTTATATCCGGCACCACATCATCATACGCACTATCGTCACGCAGCTCCGTCCTCACGATATCTCACAACGTCACTAAACTGATGTACTAAATTGCCGAACCTTACCTAACCGAAGACCCAAGAATAGAAAACGAGATATCACGTCAGTTTTGTGAGCCGCTATGCTTTTTAGTACATTAGTTTTTGACTTCAGGGGATTTATACGTCAAAATACGATATACTATTCAAGAGGACGGGTCACGTTAAATCCTTCGTAAACCTCATATGCCCTGGATCAAGAGACATACTCAGCTTTTAATTAAAAAAATGTAATCTTGTTAAAAGTTTATAGACTAATATGGTAGCGATAACGCACACTTTGTAAACAGGAGCTGCCTCACAGCGGGTAAACAGGTTGCAGTTCCTTTTTTTCCTATTTTCTGTAGTGACGATTGAATAACGGCCAGTGCAGACAGCCTATCACATGCCTCTGTATGTCTAACCATCCTTTGTGATGGGGATTTTTTAGCATCATGTAGTTAGCTTTTTTGACACACTGTACTCCACTTCATATAGTCTAGGGCAGCTGAACAAATGCAGATGTACCCCATGTATTAATAAAAATATGAAAAACAAGAAAATTAAGAATACAATGATTATTTTACTCTCTGATTACATTTTGTTTTGTGCTAGGCTAGGCATGCACGAGGTGATATGAAAAATTGTTTTACTGCGAATTATATGTAAAAATATGTAAATATGATATTTATGATATTTTTCCTGTATAATACAAGAACTTCTTGTAGCTGGCCAACGGGTTTACCCAGCTCTACGAGGACACAATGTGGTATCGTATCAGTGATAGTACTAGACGCGTCTCAAACTCGTACCAGCGGAGGGTCTTATCGGACAGTCAAACTTCAGCTATGAAACGGTACATTATATTATTAACAGTATTAAGGGTAATATTAACATTTATATCCATTGACAAACATTTTATTGCTGAAATACTAAAGCTAATATGAATAATACTTCTAGGAACATGGCTAATAATTGGCTGTACAAGGTAAATATTACTAGGCTGTACGGGGGTAAACATTCCCCAAGTTCTAGGCTGTACAAAGTGAATATTACTCATAGGTAATAAGCTGTACAGAGTACATATTCCTAAGATACTAAGCTGTACATGGTAAATATTCCCTAAGTACTAGGTTGTACAAGGTGAGTATTCCCTAGATACTATAAACTGTACATGGTAAATATTCCCTAAGTACTAGGCTGTACAAGGTGAGTATTCCCTAGATACTATAAACTGTACATGGTAAATATTCCCTAAGTACTAGGCTGTACAAGGTGAATATTCCCTAGATATTATAAACTGTACATGGTAAATATTCCCCCAACATTCTATAAGCTGAGAATGCTAAATATTCCCCAGGTACTAGGCTGTATAAGGTGAGTATAATATTCCCTAAGTACTAGGCTGTGTAAGGCACATGCACATTCACAACCTCAGGTCCCCGTTATCAGTCATAGGTAAGTACTACCCTTGTCACGTGTATATCACGGGTACACCACGTGTACCAACACATACTCACAACACGGTAGTGTCACCACGGATACTCACTCAAGCGCTTCCACTGATGTACGTATGTTTCCGTCTCGACACACACACCTGGGGCCTGTGGCTGGGTGGACAGCGACTCGTAATCCAAGGGTCCGGGTTCGATTCCCGGCGATAGCTGAAACAAATGGGCAGTTTCTTTCACCCTGATGCCCCTGTTATCTAACAGTAAATAGGTACCTGGGAGTTAAGACAGCTACTACCGGCTGCTTCCTGGGTGTGTGAGTGGAAATAAATAGGAGCTGTCTCGTATGGACCAATAGGCCTCCTGCAGTTACCTTCATTATTATGTTCTTATGTGCTTAACTCATTCATATATGTCTAACCTTAGAACTGAACTCAGACGTCTTCCCCTACCCGGACAGTATGCACTGCAAACGTTCTGGCCTCACAAGACCAACAAGTTTCTCATTCATTCCCCTTTGTGTTTATAACCGGCTTCCGGGACTCCCACCCTCCCGTGCTATTCCTAAACATCACGTCCATTTCATGACCCCGTCCCGTCCCTGCCTCTCCCTAGACCACGTCCTGTTAATTGTACCCTACCCTGGAACCTTACATTCCTCGGTTCTCTCCTTTATGGTTTAAACAAGCCTGTTAAACAAGTCTAAACAAGCCTATTTAAACTTGTGGGCCTCCCGACTTCCTCAGGAAGTCGGGAGGCCCACAACAGTTGCTCAAATTGAAATATTGAGTATGTATGTGTGTATGTAGGTGTATATGTATGTATGTATGTGTGTGTGTATGTATGTATGTATATATATGTATGTGTGTGTGTGTATATGTATGTATATATATATATATATATATATATATATATATATATATATATATATATATATATATATATATATATATATATATATATATATATATATATATATATATATATGTATATATGTATGTGTGAGTATATGTATGTATATGTATGTGTATGTGTGAGTATATGTATGTATGAACAACTCGATAAATAATAATAATAAAATACAGAGCCTTAAACAAAACAACATGTGTGGAAGCATCGAAGTGTGTATATATGAATGCTACACATTGTTCATCTATAGACATCCATATATGGTGAAACACATGTGAAGAACCTCTGACACACTCACAGCTCCCTGACAAGAGGGAGCCAGCTTAGCTTAGCTGCCAACACCCACACATCGTGTCAGCAAGGCGGACAGCCCGCCTGCTTTCATACCTCTCACTCTATTTCCCACTTCTACACTTCCCTTCACCTATGCCTCTCCTTCCTCTTTACTCCAAAAAAAAAACTGTTGATTGACGGTTGAGAGGCGGGACCAAAGAGCCAGAGCTCAACCCCCGCAAGCATAATTAGGCGAGTACAATTAGGTACTTGGGTGTCCCTAACGCAACCGCCTCTCGCATGTAGGAAAGAAACGTTTTGCGCGTCAGTCTATAAACGCGTATATGATAACATAGCCAGCCGCGAGAGGGCGGTGATGGCAGCCACGTTGGTCGTCCGCATACGTATCGTTTACCACCCGGGTGGGACCCGACCGCCCCGGTATATAAAAGAGCGCGTCCTGGCCGGACGGACAGTGTAGCGTTATGGGTTACTCAGAGGGTGCGGCGAGTGAAGTGAATTGTGAATTTGGAGAATACGAAACGTTTTGGTCTACGTATACTGTCGTGTCTCGACGAGTCAGTATACCTGCTTATACTTGGGAATCTACGGCCACTCTCAAAAGTATGTTAGAATTAACTACTCTCACTGATTTCTCCTTCCCAGTTCGTTTCTCCCTTCCCTCGTCCATCTCTCCCTTATGTGTCTTCCCCTTCCATCTCTAATTGTCTCTTCCCCCTCCGTCTCATTCCTCTCCTTCGTTCCTTAGTCTCTCCCCTCCATTCCTTTGTCTCCCCTCCATTCCTTTGTCTCTCCCCTCCATTCCTTTGTCTCTCCCCTCCATTCCTTTGTCTCTCCCCTCCATTCCTTTGTCTCCTACCCCCCCCCCCCCCGTCTCCTCCCCCCCCAATCCTTCCCCTCCTCCCCCCCACCATCTCCTCCCCCCCCCACCGTTTCCTCCCCCCCCCCCCCCCCCCCCACCGTTTCCTCCCCCCCACCGTCTTCCCCCCCCTCCACCGTCTCCTCCCCCTCCCTCCACCTTCTCCTCCCCCTCCCCCCTCCGTCTCCTCCCTCCCCCTCCGTCTTCCCCCCCCCCCTCCGTCTTCCCCCCCCACCATCTCCTCCCCCTCACCATCTCCCCCCACCGTTTCCTCCCCCTCACCATCTCCCCCCACCGTCTTCCCCCCCCACCATCTCCCCCCACCGTTTCCTCCCCCTCACCATCTCCCTCCCATGGCTCGCTCCTCGTCACAGACAACGAGTCATTGAACACTATGATTGCCACACCATTTCCCTAAACTGTATGTTCCCAAGAAAACTATTTGGTCATCTTCACGCTCGTTATTGTAGGCTATATATGTACAGTATATTTATTAAGGTCAATGGCCAGTAGTGAAATGCAAACAAATAATAAATGAATTTTCATAATTTAATAGGCTTCTTATATTGAATTAAATCAAAGCCCCTAGTGTTAGCTCTCTGGTAAACTCAGATACAGTATAATTAATAAGAATTATAATTGTGTCGCGGGGGACAGGCAACCAGCTGTATATATATATACATTGTATGTACTAGCTCTATTAATCTAACATTATGTTTGTACTCACCTGTAACTCACTTTCAATGTATGTAGCTTTACCTATATAGACATCTAATCTTATCTTATCTTATACATGCTTATCTTATCTTATACATGTTAGGCTTATATCGAGGTAACCACCCCCCCCCCTCCCCAAGGTTGAACTACTGACCCCCCCCTATCCTGGGTAGCTATTTTACTGCTAGGTGAATAAGTGCATTAGGTGATAGGAAATGCCTTCAACCATTACTGTCCCGGACGGGATTCGAACCTGGAATTCCCGATTTTGAGTCAAGAACAAAATTATATATATAATATTTACATTTATAGTTGTATTATAACCAATAATTTTGTACGATGTTTATGTGTAGTCTAATGCAGTATATTTATTTTATTTTAGGATCAACACGTTTACTCTGACGTCATCAATACCCAGCGGTGAAGTCTGGTCATCAATACCCAGCGGTGAAGTCTGGTCATCAATACCCAGCGGTGAAGTCTGGTCATCAATACCCAGCGGTGAAGTCTGGTCATCAATACCCAGCGGTGAAGTCTGGTCATCAATACCCAGCGGTGAAGTCTGGTCATCAATACCCAGCGGTGAAGTCTGGTCATCAATACCCAGCGGTGAAGTCTGGTCATCAATACCCAGCGGTGAAGTCTGGTCATCAATACCCAGCGGTGAAGTCTGGTCATCAATACCCAACGGTGAAGTCTGGTCATCAATACCCAGCTGTGAAGTCTGGTCATCAATACCCAGCTGTGAAGTCTGGTCATCAATACCCAGTGGTGAAGTCTGGTCACCAATACCCAGCGGTGAAGTCTGGTCATCAATACCCAGCGGTGAAGTCTGGTCACCAATACCCAGCGGTGAAGTCTGATCATCAATACCCAGCTGTGAAGTCTGGTCACCAATACCCAGCGGTGAAGTCTGGTCACCAATACCCAGCGGTGAAGTCTGGTCATCAATACCCAGCGGTGAAGTCTGGTCATCAATACCCAGCGGTGAAGTCTGGTCATCAATACCCAGCGGTGAAGTCTGGTCATCAATACCCAGCGGTGAAGTCTGGTCATCAATACCCAGCGGTGAAGTCTGGTCATCAATACCCAGCTGTGAAGTCTGGTCATCAATACCCAGTGGTGAAGTCTGGTCACCAATACCCAGCGGTGAAGTCTGGTCATCAATACCCAGCGGTGAAGTCTGGTCATCAATACCCAGCGGTGAAGTCTGGTCATCAATACCCAACGGTGAAGTCTGGTCATCAATACCCAGCGGTGGAGTCAGCCCCCTAAACTTTCACCTAGAAAGCCACCCCCTCCCCCCTTACCATCCACCATAACCCCCTCCCTTTTCAGGTCACCCCCGACCCCTCCACCCACTCATCCCACCCCCTACAGATTCCACTTGTAAGAGTACCAATCAACCCACAAAGTGCTGTTTTCAAAGTGGCGAAATATACAAAAACCTACAACATCATTTAGGGTTATTTCCTAAGTGGTGGTATCCAGAACCCACATCATTTAGGGTTATTTCCTAAGTGGTGACACACAGAACCCACATCATTTAGGGTTATTTCCTAATTGGTGACACACACACACAGAACCCACACCGCTTAGGGTTATTTCCTAAGCGGTGACACACAGAACCCATACCGTTTAGGGTTATTTCCTAAGTGGTGACACACTCACACAGAACCCTCATCATTTAGGGTTATTTCCTAAGTGGTGACACACACAGAACCCACACCGTTTAGGGTTATTTCCTAAGTGGTGACACACGTACCCAGAACCCACACCGTTTAGGGTTATTTCCTAAGTGGTGACACACATACCCAGAACCCACATCATTTAGGGTTATTTCCTAAGTGGTGACACACATACCCAGAACCCACATCATTTAGGGTTATTTCCTAAGTGGTGACACACATACCCAGAACCCACATCATTTAGGGTTATTTCCTAAGTGGTGACACACATACCCAGAACCCACATCATTTAGGGTTATTTCCTAAGTGGTGACACACATACCCAGAACCCACATCATTTAGGGTTATTTCCTAAGTGGTGACACACGTACCCAGAACCCTCATCATTTAGGGTTATTTCCTAAGTGGTGACACACATACCCAGAACCCACATCATTTAGGGTTATTTCCTAAGTGGTGACACACGTACCCAGAACCCACACCGTTTAGGGTTATTTCCTAAGTGGTGACACACATACCCAGAACCCACACCGTTTAGGGTTATTTCCTAAGTGGTGACACACATACCCAGAACCCTCATCATTTAGGGTTATTTCCTAAGTGGTGACAGACACACACAACCCATACCGTTTAGGGTTATCTCCTAAGTGGTGACCTACAATTTCTACTCCTCCGCATTAAAGGATTTCCTGTATAGCGGCTCTGTTGCCATCTCACCACTAAGACTTTTCCGAGTGGTGATTCCACCCTCACCACGGATCGTACTCACTGTAGTTCTTGGAACGATTTCATCAAATTGCAAAACGTTTGCTTGGCCAGCCGAACAAAGTTACTCACTCTTCAGTCAAAGATACCTTTATCGCATATATACTTCTTGACACACAAATACCCACCGTAGAGTGCTTGCTCCACTCTCCAAGTTATCATTTAAAAGGCCGATTACCTGTTGTGCTTATCTCTATCACAGCTTCCCCCCCCCCAGCCCCGCCCTCACGCAAATAATAACCATCCCAGTATGGCTCCACCTTACACTCCTGGGTACCTGGCACGTTCCCTTGTACGTGTACCCGGCAGCGGACGAGATGGCCCAAGAGCCACAATTCTTTGCGACCTTTCTCGAGTGTCTACCCTCGCCGCAAGCGTCTCTATGCCCAGGAACCTGCCTCCGGCGCTGGTGAGTCTCCCCAGTGGATTACCTGATAACACTCTCCAAAATCCTAGTCTGCACCTACAGACATCAACAGCCCACACACTGAATGGTTCCAGCGGCTCGCGCAAGCGCACCAGGGACCAAGTCTTCCGAGGTGATGAAACATATCCCAAGCCAAAAGTCAGCAAGCTAGAGGATGCACCGTTTCCACCTCGACACGCCGCTAATGAGGAAGCCAAGGTTACGTCGAGCAACCGTGGATCAACGAACACCCCTACTGTTGTGGTCTTCATCCCTCAAAACCACATGCACCAATTAATCTCGACAAGCCAGCCACAAGAAGGAAGCACTCAAACACCCCAGGTGCTTGTGGCACAGCTTCAGGACAGTCCAGCTTTCCCGGGGGTTATGGCCCAATTACAGGGTCTCCTTCAACAACCCAGTTCAACCCCCCAAGGGATTATGGCCCATCTACAGAGTCTCCTTCAACATGCGAGACCAGCCCCCCAGGGGGTTGTGGCCCATTTACAGGGTCTCCTTCAACAGGCCAATCCATCCTCACACGGAGCTGTGGCCCAAGTACAGTCTCTCCTTCAACAGGTTAATCCATCCCCACAGGGGTCTATGGCCCAAGTACAGTCTCTTCAACAGGTCAATCCATCTCCACAGAGGTCTGTGGCCCAAGTACAGTCTCTCCTTCAACAGGCTAATCCATCCCCACAGGGATCTATTGCCCAAGTACAGTCTCTCCTTCAACAGGCTAATCCATCCCCACAGGGGTCTATTGCCCAAGTACAGTCTCTCCTTCAACAGGCTAATCCATCCCCACAGGGGTCTGTTGCCCAAGTACAGTCTCTCCTTCAACAGAGCAATACGCCAATCCAGAACGTAGCGGCACCACAACCGAGGACTCCGATACCCCAAATAGTGGTGGCTCCTCGACAGGGCTACATTCAACAAAGCAGCTTAACACCCCAGATTGTGGTTCTCCAACAGAACCACCTTCAACAAACCAACCCAGCACCCCAAAACGTCGTGGTTAACCAACAGAACAACCTTCAACAGACCAACCAATTACCCCATACTGTTCAAATGCAACAAACCATTAAACAACTAGTACAAAATATCTCGCAGCCGAGTACGGTGGAAGCCATCTCGATGACAGAGGTCGCAGAGGAGTCCCGCCAGCTGAGAGAACACAACCTGACTCTTCGCAGACAGGTGTCTCTGTTTCAACAACTCTTCAGCGACAAACAAAGACTTGTTTCAGTGATTAGAAGACTTGGCATGCGTGTTGCATAAGCCATATATGTATAATGTCTTGTAATTTGTAATAACAATATTAGCAAAGTTAAATTATTTTAAGATATTTTTAGTTTGATTTTTAATCGCACCCTACAAATTGTGTTTTAGTTTGAAAACACCATGTACACGAAGAGATACAAAAATTATACTATTTGCTGTATATTTAGGAAATAACATTAATATAATTTTTGAATTTCACTTCCAGTTGAAATTATATTTGAAATTTTATCTGTACTAGGTTTTCTGATATATAATCTATAATCACTTTATACAAATAAACTGCAACAAGATCTATTTGACTTAAATTCAAGAACACACTATCTAAAATATTGGCTATTGTCTAGGGGTAGCCTACCCACAACTTAAGTTATAGTCAAGCACCTCTATTGCCTGTCCAGAATATCAGGTAAGGCCTAGGCTGTCCAAAATATCGGATATGGCCTAGGCTGTCCAGAATATGAGATATGGCTTAGGCTGTCCAAAATATCAGATATGGCCTAGGCTCTCCAAAAATCGGATATGGCCTAGACTCTCCAGGATATCAGATATGGCTTAGGCTGTCCAAAATATCAGATATGGCCTAGGCTGTCCATAATATCAGATATGCCCTAGGCTCTCCAAAATATCGGAAATGGCCTAGGCTGTCTATAATATCTGATAAGGCCTAGGCTGTTCATAATATCCGATATGGCCTAGGCTCTCCAGAATATCAGATATGGCCTAGACTCCAGAATATCAGATATGGCCTAGACTCTCCAGAATATCAGATATGGCTTAGGCCGTCCAAAATATCAGATATGCCCTAGGCTCTCCAAAATATCGGATATGGCCTAGGCTGTCCATAATATCAGATATGCCCTAGACTCCAAAATATCGGATATGGCCTAGACTGTCCATAATATCCGATATAGCCTAGGCTCTCCAGAATATCAGATATGGCTTAAGTTGTCTAAAATATCAGATATGACCTAGGCTGTCCAAAATATTAGGTATATCCTAGGCTGTCCAAAATATGGGATATGGCCTAGACTCTCCAGAATATGATATGGCCTAGGCTGTCCAGCATATCAGATATAGCCTAGCATGCCCAAAATATTGGATATGGCCTAGCAAACTGAAAATAGAAGATGTTTTTTTCACTCACAGGTTATAAACCCATGGAACTGCGTACCCGCCGAAGCTGTAAATGCCAAAACTGTTTAATTTTAAAATCCAGCTTGAAAAAATCATTAGGTCAAATGGGAAGACCTTTGACAAGTCGATGGCTTCTTGTCCTCGTCGAGCCCACTATAATGTTAATGACCTCAGGTAAATATATGTACCTGAGAATAGAAATATCTAGAATAGGAATATTTAAGTTTGTTTTTTAGCTCTATTTTCTCCTAACTCTATAAAATTAATAATATTTTTTTAAATAATTCTTTCGGCTGTTAGGGTCAATGGGGGTCGATATATAGACAGTCTTCCAGTTGGTTCTCTTTTATGGGCTATTCATGCCCGTGCCACCTTTTTGGGTGGCTTAATCTTAATCAATCTGGTTCTCTTGTATGGGAATGGAACTGCATGGCTCTCGCCTCTGTGGGGGTGGGGGGGCGTCTGTGTCACCCAGCACCTGCCGTGCACGACATTTATCTACCGAAAGGGACAGCTTCTTCTTGAGAATAGGTGCAGTTTGCATGAAGGGTTTACCCTCCCGATGACTGCACCAGGACAAATGTAGGGAAACGCGTAGACGTTAAGGAGGAGAAGAAAGTCAAAAGTGTTGGATGTGGCGGGCCGTAGAGAGAGGAGTGGCGACGGAAACAGATGTGGAAGTGGCGACGGAAACAGATGTGGACGTTAGAGGGAGTCGACTCCCCGCACCGTAGGGCGGGGTGTCGAGTGCACGGCGGCAGCTGAACCACGCACGGCGTAGCGGTGCGCGCAAGACGTTAACTAATATTTTTCCGGGAACTTGTATATCGGAAAGCGCAAGCAGTACGCTTCCCAAATCACCCACAAGTCATCTGGCAGCCGGCCACCAGGCGGTGCCCTCGGCTGAGACATCTTATCTGGCACCCTATAAACAAACTCCTTCACCCGCGACACCCAGACAGTGGACGAGCTCCACGTGATCGGAAGCACCCGGGCATCCCGATAAGGGCCCAACACCAGAACCCCACAGGGCACGACCCCAGTCGGGACTAGGCTTCACCCAGACCGGGGCAATGAAGGAGGGGGAACCGCAGGGGATGCAGGCGCGGCATCGGCCCCACCACAGGGCACAGGAGCCGTTCAGGCCCCCCGGCGCACATCTTTCCGCAACACCACGACGAGGTCCCGATCATCAGGGGCAACCCCCCCCCACTGCGGGGATCCAACAGCAGAAGACGCAGGAGGGGGGCACAGGTAGCAACTTCGAAGCCCCGCACAGCACCAACATCCACGGCAGGGGCGCCAGAGTATCATACTCCTCACCTCCTCCCAAGGCACACCACGAAGGGGAGACACACTCCGAGCCCGCCGAGAACGTTTCGAGACACGCCGCACCACACCACTCCCTGCAGGCACAGCCACCATCTTTACATCCACACAGGTCACACCAGCACCGTCCGAAGAGTCCACAGAGGCCACATCACCCACACTGTCCACATCATCCAGGGAAACAGCCTCAGAGCACCGACGCGCACGCCTCTGCAAAGGGACGGAAAGAGCAGAACTACAGTCGCCAACACACACGTACAGACACGGCAGGCACCTCTCCCTGTCGAAGCCCTCCCTCCAATACAGCAGAACTCGCGTCCCCGGGAGTCGGTATCACATCCACAGGCGGGGGCGGGACATGAACCTCCACCGGGACATCCTGTACTAGATGCAGCTCAGGCGACGGCCCAACACACACACATCGGCTCAACAACCCCAGAGGCCACAGCAGTCACCAGACGTGTCGCACAGGCCGTAGAACTCGTCTCAACAGGGGTAGCAGCAGACAGGCAATCAGGCGCCTCAGGCACAGCACCCACTCTGTCCTCAGAACCGGCCGAATGCAACAGGGGCGGAAAATCCTCCACACGAAAAACATGCACCCTACCAGTTGCACGCTGCAGCCTACCTTACCTTACCTTGAGGTGCTTCCGGGGCTTAGCGTCCCCGCGGCCCGGTCGTCGACTAGGCCTCCTGGTTGCTGGACTGATCAACCAGGCTGTTGGACGCGGCTGCTCGCAGCCTGACGTATGATTCACAGCCTGGTTGATCAGGTATCCTTTGGAGGTGCTTATCCAGTTCTCTCTTGAACACTGTGAGGGGTCGGCCAGTTATGTCCCTTATGTGTAGCGGAATCGTGTTGAACAGTCTCGGGCCTCTGATGTTAATAGAGTTCTCTCTCATAGTACCTGTTGCACCTCCGCTTTTTAACGGGGGTATTCTGCACATCCTGCCATGTCTTCTGGTCTCATGTGATGTTATTTCTGTGTGCAGGTTTGGGACCAGCCCCTCTAATATTTTCCACGTGTAAATTATAATGTATCTCTCCCGCCTGCGCTCAAGGGAGTACAGAGCCAGATGACCCTCGTGACCACACCGCAACCCGTTCTCGCAAATTTAATAAGTCAATATTGACTTATTAAATATGTCCATAGGTGACATACTTAACATAATAGATACCCTTAAAAAGATTCATAGAAAACACCGACCTTACCTAACCTATTTATTTATTTATTTATTTATGCATATACAAGAATGTACATAAGGAATGTGAGGATACAAATATGGTAATTACAGTCTTGTAAAGCCACTAGCACGCGCAGCGTTTCGGGCAGGTCCTTAATCTAAGAAAATTTTAAGGAGGTAAATACTTGCAAAATTTATAGACAAAAAAATGATAACATTACATGAAATGAAAAAAAAAGATGAGAGAAAATTGTAGGTACAGTATATTAAAGCACATAGGTAGCTAAGATTGATTGCAATGACAACTTGAATGGTAGTTGACAAAAAATAGGTAGGCACAATACAGCAGAAACAATATAAGATTGATTGCAATGACAGCTTGAATATGGTAGTTGACAAAAATTGGTAGTCACAATACAGCATATGGCTAGCACATAAAAGAAGACAGCAATGAACACAATGATAAGGTTGTTTGATATTACATAAAAATTAGGAGATTGGGTAACACTAGGTACAGAGCAAATTTAAAGCTCAGTGTAGGAAACTAAGAAGATGAAGTTAGGTACTTTTTGGTTTTGCTTTTAAATAAGGCAAAAGTTTTACAGTTTTTCAATTCACTAGGGAGTGAGTTCCATAGACTAGGTCCCTTAATTTGCATAGTGTGTTTACACAGATTAAGTTTGACCCTGGGGATATCAAAGAGATATTTATTTCTGGTGTGGTGATAATGGGTCCTATTACATCTGTCCAGGGAGAGTTTCATAGCATGGTATGCATTTAAGAACAGGGTTTTGTAAATGTAGTTGACACAAGAGAATGTGTGGAGGGAGTTAATATTTAGCAAGTTTAAGGATTTAAACAAGGGAGCTGAGTGTTGTCTGAAAGCAGAGTTAGTTATTATTCTGATAGCAGATTTTTGCTGTGTGATGATGGGCTTAAGGTGGTTTGCAGTGGTAGACCCCCATGCACAGATACCATAATTAAGATAGGGGTAGATTAGTGCATAATATAGTGAGAGGAGAGCAGAGTTAGGAACATAATATCTGATTTTGGAGAGTATACCAACTGTCTTAGAGGCTTTCTTAGTTATGTGTTGAATGTAGGTGCTGAAGTTGAGTCTCTTGTCTAGGAATAGGCCAAGAAACTTGCCATCATTTTTATTACTGATGTTAATGTTGTCTATCTGTAGCTGAATTGCATTTGATGATTTGCTTCCAAATAAGATGTAGTAAGTCTTTTCGATGTTTAATGTTAGTTTGTTCGTTGACATCCATAAGTGGACTTTTTTTAATTCATTATTCACAACATTATTTAGTGTATGTGGGTCAGGGTGCGGGAGCCGTCAAGCGTACCAACACAGAGCCCGGCAACGACCTTGTTCCACCAAACACTTAACACCGTCCCAAATCGTTCAAAACAGGAGGTCAAGAAGTCGTCCTGAAATTCGAAGGGGGCACCATGCACCGCCACAGACGTCAAGGTGACACTTAAGATTCACTACCTTAACAGAACCAGCAGTATCAGGGAGATGGTAAACACGCCCCTCACACCGCTCGAGGAACGCCTGAAAGGCAGCCTGGAGGCGGGACTTGACCACAGCACGGTTGCCCTGAAGCAGCTGGATGCCCACCAGGTCCGACAGCTGCACATGAAGCACGTCCACCAGGGCGACACCAACCAACGAATGGTCCACCGGCACCGTAAATGCCAGACCAGGGGACAAAGTCCTCTTCACTGGAGGGCGAGAAGTCCCCATGGCTAAGTCAAACGTCACCCTGTCAGTGGCAAACCACCACCAGCAGGGCAAACCAGCAATCACCCAACGTAAACACGAGCCAGGAGCGGAGAGACCTCAGGAACGTCCGACCTGGCCGGTGGTCACCACGCAACTCAAAAGGCACAGCAGTTTCTTTTTTCTTCATCGTATACAGTAACCCGATGCCCGAAACGCTTTGCGTAATAGTGGCTTTAGGCATTGTATGTACTAGCTCTACCTATAAGTCAACCAATCTTTGTAAAAATTTCTTGTATGTATGTACCTTACCTAAATAAACATTTATTTATTTATTTTATAACCTCCGAACTTAAGAGTTATTGTTGTTGTTGATGATGTAGGGGCGACGAGGATCGTGGGATGGGATGCCCGGCGTACCCGTGGAGGGCGAGGGTTGGTCTCTTCTAGGGGAACACCGTGGCCCTGGAGGATGCCACGGTGCCTCCCCAGGTGTGGTCCACACGCACCAGCACCAGGTTGTACAGCTGGATCGCCGTGTAAGAAAAGGAACAAGTATTTAGAAGAGAAGAGGAAGAATACATCTAAGCCATGATGTATCTGCAAAAGGTGATTATTTATTTATTTATAAGAAGGTACATTGGGTTGTGGAAAGCACATACGTTGGTGATTGGGTGGTAGATTCTAACAAAGCCACTAACACTCGTAGATAGTGTTAGTAGATAGTAGATAGTGTAAGGGTGTCAAGGATAGTGAAACATTTTAAATGTTTCATCAAGATTTGTGGAGTTCATGTGGATTTCTTTGTAAGTCTTCAGTATCATTTTCACCTTTGCTTTCTTTGTTTTAACCAATGCTTCAGAGAATTCCATGTATACATACTACATCTACTGTAGTCCTTTGTCTGAAGACTTTTTCCCATCTCCAGAAATGTGAGCAAGTTAGTAATGCAGGATTTATTTTGAATAAAATCATGTTGATTTTACTTGTGTACTGTGAGATGGTGAATGATTCCCACCCTTGATAAGCAATGTAACTTGCTTAGTCAAATACATTTTGGGGTTCAGTTCCTGAGCCAACTATGTGCTTCCGGAACCTTTCCCCTGCTACCACAGGATGGGTATGGGGTGCATAATAAATCAACTAAACATTCTAACTATACAGAAAGCTTTAATAGAAAATGGTGATTTATGTAATAGTAATAATAAAAATTTATTGTATTGGGGGACAGGCAGCAGGGTATATATACTTGTGAGGCTTATTTCAAGTTCCCCCCCCCCATCCCCTCCACCCCAGGTCAAAATACTGATCCTCCTCAGGATGTAACCCTACAACAAGCTGACTAACTCCTGGATACCTATTTAGTGCCAAGTGAACAGGAACATTAAGGAATCGGAAATGCACCTAACCATTTCTGTCCCAACCTGGATTTGAACCCAGAATTCTCGATTGCGAGATGAAAATAAATCTGACTGTGCTACTGGGATCCTTCATTTGATAATACACAATTTCGTATTTGCACAGTATTGATAAATATGGATTTGAAGATGTCTCCACTTTGGACCAGTTTTTGTCTGTTTATCAGTACAGTATTGTGAAATCAAAACTTTATTTCTGAAATTAATAACTAAACCTGTACTACTGTTAATACAGTAATTGCTGTATCAAAATTTAATAATTTTTTGTCTATATCTGTTTAATATCTTTAATTTATAATTGCTTACTATGTACTGTTGCAGTTTTCAGTTTCCAAATACAGTATCAAGTAATAACTGTCAATCCTTTCTTAATTCTCTCCATCAACTCCTAATTGTTATATTGTCTCATTTGGTTTTACGAATTAATCCATAAGTTTATACTGTATGTGGTTTTTGTAATGCTCAAAACGCTTTGAATATTAGTGGCTTTAGGCAATGTACTTGTGTTACTTATGAATCCTCTACTGTTCTTGTGGTGTCTTTGTACTCTTGCCTAAATAAATATTATTATTATTATTATTGAGAAATGCCTTACATTTCAGGAATCATTAAACAGTAAAAACATGTAAAATTTTATTCAACATGTCTTCATTACAAATAGAATTTAATACACTATAAGATAACCATATAAATGCATATAAACAATCTATAACACTCATACAGCTTTATCTTATCTGACCAGAAGCACACACCAACCTTAGCAACAACCACACAGCACACCATCTGGTATTTACACCATAATGCACTTATGCTTAACTTTATATAATACTGCTGTAGATTCAGATACTGTATATGTGATATCTGAAAAGCTACAGTATATAGTACAATAGTTTACAGATTATACAAATGCAGTATATTATTGTATTTAGTGCTTTTTCAGAATATCAATTGTATAATTTTACTGTATAAACAAAATTTGGCTCTTTCTGGTGGGGCTCTCATTGCTCCTCAGGCTTGATACCACTATTCCTTAGTCAACACACCAGGCCTCTAAGACCAATCAGTTACCTACCAGGAACCAGAGCCAGAATGGCTCGCTCTATGACATGAGGGAGCATGTCATGGCTGGCCTAGGTCACCCTAGGCCAGCCCTTCCAGAAAACCCCAGGGTCAGGAACACTAAAGAAGGCAAATGGCAACTAAGGACCCCTTAATTACCCTTTGCAACTATCCAGGAGTTGCAAAGGGCAATTATTTGGGTTTCCTACCAAGGAAACCCATTTCTCTTTGATGTTTCCCCAATCTTTAATAGATGAGACAAATCATCAACAAGGGAAGCACAGAAACCCGAGGCTAAATGCAAAAAAAAAGAAAGTATACGGCAGCCTTGAACATAAAGTAATTCAGGACTAAAATAGAGACCTTAGGTAACCTGAACTGTCATCTGGTGGTTGTCAGGTTAATAACTTCCTTCAAACATGCGCTTGTTTGATTGTGCCAATGCTTTTTGGCGAGTTATTCCTAGTGTTGTGCTTAATCTCTGATGCCCTGTTCCCCTCACCTTGTAGAGTGAACCAGATTCTGGTTTTGATTCCTAATGGTGATTGTTGGGTCTCAGAGGTCTGGTATGTTGGGCTAAGGCTTGGTGGCACCAGAGTTAACCTTGAGGCCCCATTGAGAGAGTTCATCCCAGAACAGTACAATTTTCTTTTAAACCAAGTCTTTGTATTATAGAGTTTTTCCATGAAAACTATCTTCTCCCCATAAGAGAGTAGATAGACAATGCAATTCATCTATTTGTTCATACATAACTAATGCAAAATCAGTTATACACGTGCAAATGTTATGAAAAATTACAGTACTGTATGTATGCTGTTTGCATTCACCTGAGCAAGTACTTTTAAATACACGTTGGGCCAATCTGTTGACCACTCCTGCCACAGTTATGTTGAAAACAAACTGCAAACATTGATTGGTCACAATACAGAATGAAGCTTATCATGGTCCAATTGATAGTGTATTTGCTCAAGGAGTTCAGGGGGCAGGTTCGAATCCGTTGTACAGTCTCAAGAATCATAGCCATAATAGATATATCACAGATTATATTTTGCTCAGTCAATGACATCATTTGCAAAAGAGAAGTCAGAATCTAATACTCTACCTCCCAGAGAGTGAAACTGATAGTTCTCACTTCGGAGAGAAACATGAACTACTACATTCTATAACATTGCACATGAAGCTGACACGAGCAAAAAAGAGCGGCTATGGTTGAAGCTAAGGACTGGCATTGCTGGTCTCAAAATATCTCTTATATTCGCGTAAGGCGCATAAATTTATGTCTTGGCACACCTGAAGGCCTCGCACAGATGTCCTAAGTTACTGTTCACCAATTTAGCTTAATATGTACCAAAATAACCAAACCCACGATTTCTTATCCAGGCTTCATTCTTTTTATTTTTACTAATTAAAAGAGAAATGTTTCTCAGACATGAAGTTATTTTCATGCATCAGTCATTTCAGTAACTTCTTAATCCATTCAATTTAAATAAATAAATAAATATACTAGTAATATATAATACGCAAAATTTAAGAACAGTACAGTATTTACAAATACCAACTGATGTAATAGTCTCTAGTGATGTCCTGTAGTAAAGTACAGTACTCTTATTTTTTGGCCTCGGTGTGACATTAGTTAATTCTCACTGTTTTCTACACTTTCAAGTTAAGGTAATTATCAGGAGACGGCGCAGAGGCATTACGAGTACTATATATAGCACTTGGAAACAATACAAGGATAAAGATTTGTGATAGGACGGAGGAAAATAATAGTGTCCAACCACTTGGATGGTTGGGGATTGAACACTGACCTGCTAGAAGCGAAATCGTTGTTGTACCATCCAGTCCAAGTGGTTTGGACACCTACACTTTCAAGAGTCTAATAACTTTTGTATTAGCACCAGATTTAATTAGATATCCCGTATTACTGATTAGATCTGAGTTATTTATATGTAAATCTGGACATCTGTGTGAGGCATTCAGGGATGTAATATAAGCATATATATTGGTGACTCCTAAAGGAAGACATAAATGATATGAAGGACTTAAACTTGAGGAATATGCATGTCCTTGAAAACTGCATTCTTGACCAAGTGGTAACCTATCCTCACCTGACAAATTTTCAAAGGTGCCTGCAAACTGGCCTACCGCTACACCAATTGGAACTTGACTCTGATAGTCAGTCAACAGATGTGTATGGTGTAATACAAATTGGACAACTGGCACACAAATGTGTATGGTGTAAAACAAGCAGGGCAACTGGAACACAGATGTGTATGGTGTAATACAAGCAGGGCAACTGGCACACAGTCTCCGTGGTGTAGTGGTAAGACACTCGTCTGGCGTTCCGCGAGCGCTATGTCATGGGTTCGTATCCTGGCCGGGGAGGATTTACTGGGCGCAATTCCTTAACTGTAGCCTCTGTTTAACGCAACAGTAAAATGTGTACTTGGATGAAAAAACGATTCTTCGCGGCGGGGATCGTATTCCAGGGACCTGCCCGAAACGCTACGCGTACTAGTGGCTGTACAAGAATGTATCAACTCTTGTATATATCTACAAAAAAAAAAAAAAAAAAAAAAACAGATGTGTATGGTGTAATACAGCTGACACGTGTGTGGTGCAATACAAGCAGAACAACTGGCATGCAGATGTTTATGGTGTAATACAAGTAGGACAACTGGCACACCGATGTATATGGTGAAATAAGAGCATGACAGGTATCTGATGTATATGGTGATATACAAGCAGGACAAATGATACACAGATGTATATAGTGTAATATAAGCAAGACAATTGACACGCAGAGAGTGAGTGAGTGAGTGTGTGTGTATTCACCTAATTGTGCTTGTGGGGGTTGAGCTCTGGCTCTTTGGTCCCGCCTCTCAACCGTCAATCAACAGGTGTACAGGTTCCTGAGCCTATTGAGCTCTATCATATCTACACTTGAAACTGTGTATGGAGTCAGCCTCCACCACATCACTTCCTAATGCATTCCATTTGTCAACCACTCTGACACTAAAAAAGTTCTTTCTAATATCTCTGTGGCTCATTTGGGCACTTAGTTTCCACCTGTGTCCCCTAGTGCATGTGCCCCTTGTGTTAAATAGCCTGTCTTTATCTACCCTATCAATTCCCTTGAGAATCCTGAATGTGGGGATCATGTGCCCCCCTAACTTCTGTCTTCCAGCGAAATTAATTTAATTCCCGTAGCCTCTTCTCATAGCTCATACCTCTCAGCTTGGGTACTAGTCTGGTGGCAAACCTTTGAACCTTTTCCAGTTTGGTCTTATCCTTGACTAGATATGGACTCCATGCTGGGGCTGCATACTCCAGGATTGGCCTGACATATGTGGTATACAAATTCTGAATGATTCTTTACACAAGTTTCTGAATGCTGTTCTTATGTTGGCCAGCCTGGCATATGCCGCTGATGTTATCCTCTTGATATGGGCTGCAGGGGACAGGTCTGGCGTGATATCAACCCCCAAGTCTATTTCTCTCTCTGACTTGAAGAATTTCATCTCCCAGATGATACCTTGTATCTGGCCTCCTGCTCCCTGCGCCTATCTTCATTACATTACATTTGCTTGGATTAAACTCTAACAACCATTTGTTCAACCATTCCTTCAGCTTGTCTAGGTCTTCTTGAAGCCTCAAGCAATCCTCCTCTGTCTTAATCCTTCTCATAATTTTGGCATCGTCAGCAAACATTGAGAGAAATGAATCTATACCCTCCAGGAGATCATTTACATATATCAGAAACGAAATAGGACCGAGTACAGAGCCCTGTGGGACTCCACTGGTGACTTCACGCCAATCTGAGGTCTCACCCCTCACCGTAACTCTCTGCTTTCTATTGCTTAGGTACTCCCTTATTCACTGGAGCACCTTACCAGCTACACCTGCCTGACTCTCCAGCTTATGTACCAGCCTCTTATACAGTACTGTGTCAAAGGCTTTCCGACAATCCAAGAAAATGCAGTCCGCCCAGCCTTCTCTTTCTTGCTTAACCTTTGTCACCTGGTTGTAGAATTCTATTAGGCCAGTCAGGCAAGATTTACCCTCCCTGAATCCATGTTGGCAATTTGTCACGAAGTCCCTTCTCTCCAGATGTGTTACTAGGTTTTTTCTCACGATCTTCTCCATCACCTTGCATGGTATACAAGTCAAGAACACTGGCCTGTAGTTCAGTGCCTCTTACCTGTCGCCCTTTTTGTATATTTGGACCACATTTGCCATCTGTGTAATTACTGTGTAGTCTTTGTCATATAACGCTTTGAAACTACTGACGGTCTTGGCCTCCACCACCTCTCACTTAACTTGTTCCAACCGTCTACCACTCTATTTGCGAAGGTGAATTTTCTTATATTTCTTCGGCATCTGTGTTTAGCTAGTTTAAATCTATGACCTCTTGTTCTTGAAGTTCCAGGTCTCAGGAAGTCTTCCCTGTCGATTTTATCAATTCCTGTAACTATTTTGTATGTAGTGATCATATCACCTCTTTTTCTTCTGTCTTCTAGTTTTGGCATATTTAATGCTTCGTGTGTGTGTGTGTGTGTGTAATTACCTAAGTAATTACCTAAGTGTAGTTACAGGATGAGAGCTACGCTCATGGTGTCCCGTCTCCCCAACACTCTTTGTCATATAATGATTTGAAATTACTGACGGTTTTAGCCTCCACTACCCTCTCACTTAACTTGTTCCAACCGTCTACCACTCTGTTTACA